AGCTCTTCTTGTACAGAGACTGATGGGACTGTGGGGGAGGGGACATTAGAGTGTAAGCTCCTCTGGTACAGAGACTGATGGAACTGGCTCAGTGATCTCTGTACAGCGCTGCGGTATATGTCAAAGCTACAGTGAAGGAAATGTGTATTTGCTCCCCTGCTGATGTTGAATGTTCCCCCCTCACACAGAAATGATCGGTCTAACAATGGAATGTTCCCCCCTCACACAGAAATGATCGGTCTAACAATGGAATGTTCGGTGTAACACTGAGAGACAGAATACAACAACAAATTCAGCAGAAATGCGTCTAACAAATGATGACTGATCTGCATGTTCATGAGGGAAAGAAGGATTTGATCCCCTATCATTCAGCAGGATTTCTGGCTCCCAGGTGTCTTTCATACAGGTAACAAGCTGAGATTAGAAGCAGTCTCTTAAAGGGAGTGCTGCTAATCTCATTTTGTTACCTGTATAAAAGACACCTGTCCACAGGAACAATCAAACCATCAGATTCCAAACTCTCCACCATGGCAAAGACCAAAGAGCTGTCCAAGGATGTCAGGGACAAGATGGTAGACCTACACAAGGCTGGACTGGGCTACCAAACTATGGCCAAGCAGCTTGGTGAGAAGGTGACAACAGTTGGTGCAATCATTCACAAATGGAAGAAACACAAAACAAGTGTCAGTCTCCCTAGGTCTGGTGCACCATGCAAGATCTCACCTCGTGGAGTGTCAATGATCATGAGAACAGTGAGGAATCATCCCAGAACTACACGTGAGGATCTTGTCAATGATCTCCAGGCAGCTGGGACCACAGTCACCAAGAAAACAATTGGTAACACACTACGCCGACAAGGACTGAAATCCTGCAGTGCCCGCAAGGTCCCTCTGCTCAAGAAAGCACATGTCCAGGCCCGTCTGAAATCTGCCACTGAACATCTGAATGATGCAAAGGAGGACTGGTGGAAAGTGTTGTGGTCAGATGAGACCAAAATCCAGCTCTTTGGCATCAACTCAACTCGCCGTGTTTGGAGGAGGAGGAATGCTGCCTATGACCCCAAGAACACCATCCCAACTGTGAAACATGGCGGTGGAAACATTCTGCTTTGGGGTGGGTTTCTGCTAAGGGGACAGGACAACTGCACCGCATCAAAGGGACGATGGACGGGGCAATGTACCCTCAAATCGTGGGTGAGAACCTTCTTCCCTCAGCCAGGGCATTGAAAATGGGACGTGGATGGGTGTTCCAGCATGACAATGACCCAAAACACACGGCCAAGGCAACAAAGGAGCGGCTCAAGAAGAAGCACATTAAGGTCCTGGAGTGGCCTAGCCAGTCTTCAGACCTTCATCTGATTGAAAATCTGTGGAGGGAGCTGAAATTTCGAGTTGCCAAACGTCAGCCACCAAGCCTTAATGACTTGGAGAGGATCTGCCAAGAGGAGTGGGCCAAAATCCCTCCTGAGATGTGTGCGAACCTGTGGGCCAACTCCAGGAAACGTCTGATCTCTGTGATTGCCAACAAGGGATTTGCCACCAAGTACTAAGTCATGTTTTGTGAAGTGGATCAAATCCTTCTTTCCCTCATGAACATGCAGATCTGTCATCGTTTGTTAGACGCATTACTGCTGAATTTGTTGTTGCTATTCTCTCTGTCAGTGTTACAATACACCGAACATTCGATTTTTAGTCTGATCATTTCTTTGTGAGGGGCAAACACTCAGCAGGGGATCAAATACTTATTTCCTTCACTGTATGTAAATGTATAGTAATAATAGTGTGTGAGTGTGGGGGAGATGACATTAGAGTGTGTAAGCTCCTCTGGTACAGAGACTGATGTGGCGGGCTCAGTGTTCTCTGTACAGCACTAATATATTAGACACCTCCACCCTCCCAGGTTCAGTTACAGGCACATCCTTCTTCCTCTTCTTCTTCCCAGACTTTCTTTTTGACTCCAACCACTCCATACCATCATGTGTCAACCCGGACTTCCATTCTACCATCACCCACAACAGCATCCACCCCACTCTCTCCACTTACCACAGAGGTCCCCCCAACTTTAACCCCGCACCCCCATCATCACTCACTCCACCCCCAACCAGCGCCTCATGCCCTCTGATCCTCAGACGCTGGGGAGTGGGGGTCGGTGCAACCATATACATTGGTCCATATATAGCAGTCCAGTGCCGCACTTCACCTATGTTTATAACAATATAAAACAACTCTAACAAGTGACATAAACATCTATCCCCCCTACCCGGAAAAGCAAAATCACGTATATATATGTGATTTTGCGCACCGCTGCCGCCCTGTAGCAGTATTTCTACTATATGACGGTCGGCAAGCAGTTAATAAAGCATGGCTTTTCAGTCACTTTTTCCTTTACAGGACTGGGTACAGAGTCCTCGCCATCATCCTCATCCGATGAATCCTCCAAAAACTGAAAGGTTCTTCCACTTAGGGGAGGCTGCACGTCATGAATAAAGTTCAGCAGTCCTCCGCCATTTTTCTCTACCTCCTGTGCTGTTCCTCCAACTTGCTGGGGAGGGAGTGAGGCAGAGGCCACCATTTTCTCTGGTGAAGCAGATCCTGAGGTGGATGGGATAACAGGGGTAGCATCCAGGACCCCCTCCTTGCTCTCCACCCTTACTGCCACCACCGATGCTGAAGCTTTGCCATGATTGGTGTCTACTTCATTTTGCTGAACCTTTCCTTGTTCTGGGACTTTTTCTTGAATGCTCCGCTCTTTTCTTTCAGTGCTTTGACCAAACTCTGCTGCCTCTTTATGTCGTCCTCCAAAACTTTCAACTCTGGCTTCAGACTCTGATGTTTGCTGCGCCATGCTTTATCATGCAAAACTTTCTTTTTCTTGTAATCTGCTTTCAGGCTCACCAGCTTGTCTTCCTCCTTTGCAATACGAACCAAATGGTCAGCAACCTGCACTCTGAAGGCAGGAAGGGATTCCCGTTTTTTAGGGCCACAGCCAAGGTCTTCAGTTGAAGAAGAAGCTTGAGAGCGCAAGTTGGGTCCCTCAGGAGGAACATCACCTGGGTCATTCCCAGAATCATCCATCCTCACTAAGGCCAGGCAAGCTGACCTGTCCCCTAGTGTCTGCAGAGAGAGAGAGAGCTACAGCACAAGCAACCTCTCTGGTGCAGAGACTTACGTGATTGGCTCAGTGTCCTCTGTACACCACTGCGGTATATGTCAGAGCTATATAAATGTATAATAATAATAATGTGTGACTGTGTTGGGGGGGCATTAGAGTGTAAGCTCCTCTGGTGCAGAGACTGATGTGACTGGCTCAGTGATCTATGTATTTATTAAAATCTTGCAAACAAAAAACATCATAAAAATCATATTTACATATATACAGAATAAAAATATGTATTTTTAAACAAAACCAGCTTACTTCAGCAAAATAACAAATCCTGAGTCACCTAAACAAACCCCCCTCAGGCTAAGAAACGATTAAACATTCACCCCATACATTGATCCCACACATCCCCATACATTTGATCCCATTCATCCCATACATCCCACATTCATCCCATACATTGATCCCATGCCCATGCCCATGCATGCATGCAGCCTTTCTTCAAAAATCTGATGTTACAAAATCTAGGGGACGTGAAAGGACAGAAAGAGAAGCCACGCCCCCAGAGACTGACAGACAGCAGCTACGGGGACCTGACATTCCTCCACGCCTTTGTCCAGGCTCCCGGCCGCCACCTGTCCTTCTCAAGACCCCGAATCTTCCCAACCTCACCCAGAATGTTGTTCACCACCACCTCGACAGGAAGGACTTTTTTGCGAATGGAAACCTGACACCGTGCATTCCACGTGTAGTAACGGACTACTAAGCTAACTAGAAAAAGTGTCTCAAAATCAAAATCCCGGTGAGTCTGAAAGGCTCCGTAAGACCACTCCGCGTAACTCAAGCGGGAAAGGAAAGGGATCCCCAGAGCCCCACCCACCCGCTTGTAGACTTCTATATTGAAGGGGCACTGAAGCAAGAAATGGTCCATCGTCTCCTCCACCCCACCGCACTCCACTCTTGGACAACCACGGTTCTCCGCAGAGCGATGCTTCAGGTTGCCCTTCACATAGAGTCTGCCATGGAACGAGAGCCAGGCCAAATCCCGAAACTTTAAAGGGATTCTCTCCAGATTCATCAAACGCAGACCCTCCCTCATAACCGGGCCTGGGCAATCCCTCAAGGCCAATGGCTCGCTAAAGGCAGATTCAACAACCCTCCTCTCCAGGGCCTTCCTAGGAAGAGATTTAATTTCCTCCGCCGTCACTCGCCATTGCCGAAGCATTTTCAGACACGGGGCAACATAAGCCGGGAGCTTACCATGTTGGACCCTCAGGCTTTTCACTGGCCCACCATTCTCCCAGCTCCGTAGAAAAGGCCTAAACCAGGACTGAAAAATACCAACCCACCCAGGCGGTTCCTCTGCCAGCATGCTACCAAAATTATGTTTCAAAAACATCAGAGAAAAGAAAACCACCGGGTTGACCATACCTAGGCCACCCATCCGCCTGGGAAGGTAGGTTACAGACCTCTTAATGAGGTTCAGTTTGTGCCCCCATAACAGCTGGAAGAAACAACTGTAGATCCTCGCATAGAGAGACACTGGCAAAACACAGACAAAGCTGACATACAGAAATACCGGGATCAGGTAAGTTTTAATCAGGTCAATCCTTTCCCTGTAAGAGAGTTTCCAATCCTTCCAGCTGGCCACCTTGGCATCGGCATCTTGTAGCCTGCTTACCCAATTTGCAAGGCCGTAATCACCGGGACCAAATCTGATGCCTAAAACTTTAATTTCCTGCTGGGGCTCTGGGAAGGCGTCCGGAAGGGTAAAGCCTTCGCCTTCCTCTCCCATCCAGAAAACCTCTCTTATCCTGATTGATCTTTGAGCCAGATGCCTCAGCATACTGTTCCATCACCGAGACCACCTCCTCCACCTCCTGCCTCACCGCATACTGAGATCACCGAGACCACCTCCTCCATCCTCCTCCATACTGTTCCATCACCGAGACCACCTCCTCTCCTGCCTCCTGCGTCCCGGAGATGAAAACAGACACGTCATCAGCATAGGCCACGACCCTCAGAGGGGGCTCCCCAGGAATGCCCAAAGGAACTCCACACAACGGTCCGCTCTCTAACCTCCGAATGAAGGGATCGATTACAAACGCATATAGCAGAGGACTCAAAGGACACCCCTGACGCACACCTGAGCCAACCTCAAAGGGTCGTCCAATCCAACCATTCACAAGCATGAAGCTTTCAGCCCCTCTGTATAAGGTCTTTAGCCAATCGATAAAGCCCCCCTCCAGGCCATACTTGCCAAGAAGCAGCCATAGGTACATGATTGACTCGATCAAAAGCTTTGGCCTGATCCAATGCCAGCAGGAACTTTCCCCAGCCTGCAGCCCTGCACCGCTCCAGGGCCTCCCGGACAGCTAACACCGCTGAAAAAGTGCTTCTTCCCTGAACCGAACAGTGCTGATGGCGAGAAAAAGTAAATTGCCCGCAACAGACGATAAACGCCAGAAAATAATTTTTGCCAATATCTTCCTATCAACATTGAGAAGGCTAATGGGCCGCCAATTCTCAATTCTCGAGGAATCCTTACCCTTTGACAGAAGAATCACTGCAGATTGTCGCATGGAGGGAGAGAGCGAACCCCTCTCTCAGACAGCCATTAAACACCTCCACCAAATATGGGGCCAGAGTCACCTTAAAGTGCTTATAAAACTCGGCTGTCAATCCGTCTGGCCCAGGCGACTTCTTCATGGCAAGCTGATCAATAGCTTTCACCACCTCATCTGCCGTGATGTCCTCTGTCAAACTCACAAGAGAACTGCCATTTCCCAGTCCTGGAGTAGAGTCCAGAAAACCCGACATGCTCGCCCGATCGAGGTCCCTCCTACCCAGGAGGTCAGCATAATATGACCTGGAGGTTTCCAGGATCCCTGACTTGGACTTTGTCAGGGAACCCGTACTGTCAACCAGGCCTACAACTGACTTAACTGCTCTACCTTGTTTGCAGTTCTGGTAAGGGTCGGGCGAGTGATATTTCCCATAATCCCTTTCCAGAACCAAAGAGGCATGCCTGTCATATTGACACTGCCTGAGCAAGAGTTTTAACCTCAGAGATCGCTTCTGGATCTCCATTATTCGAGACAAGCCGATCGAGCTTCCTCCGCAGACGCTGGTAGGTGACATACTTATCAAGCTGTTTATTCCTTCCTATGGCCTTGAAAAACCCAACGATCCTTCGTTTTGTAAGCTCCCACCACTCGGACTTACTGCTGCAAACGTCCATGATTGATACCTGTGCCTGAAAAAAATCCTCAAAGGATTGACTCACCTTCTCATCGTCCAGGAGTGCCGAATTCAGCTTCCAGGTACCCCTCCCCTTAGGTGGTGTATCGGGGCCACTCAGAGTCACAGACAGAATACAGTGATCGGAAAACTCCACCGCCTGACACACTGGTGCCGAGAAGGCGGAGTTCCCCTTTAAAAAAAACCTATCTATTCTACTCTGACTAGAACCTCTCTGAAAAGTGAATCCCGTGTCGTCTGGGCAGCAATGAATGTGCACATCAACCAGACCTGCCTCTCTAGCTATTTTGTTTAAAAAAAAAACCCGTCACAGTCCAGCCTGACTCCGGTCCCTCTCCTGTCCTTAGTCCTAGTGACGGTGTTAAAGTCACCACCGAAGACAACTTGCTGGGCTGTAAAAAGGAAAGGCTTGATCTTCATGAAGAGGCATTTCCTGTCCCATTTTGTCTGGGGCCCATAGATGTTAATCAGGCGCAGGTCCTGCCCCCCCATGGAGACGTCTAAGACCATGCATCTCCCCATTTCTACCTCAATAATCCGCCGACAGGTTACCATGCCGGAAAAAAGTACCGCAACTCCAGTGTAAGGCTCGGCCGCAAGAGACCAGAAGGAGGGGCCGCGCCTCCACTCCTTCTTCGCCATATGAACATCCCCCAAACTGGACAACCTGGTCTCCTGCAAAAAGAAAATGTCAGCATCAAACCTGCTGAGCAAAAATAAGGCCATGTTACGAGCGCTTACTGATTTTATGCTGGCGACATTAATGGTCGCCACCTTCAAAGGAGTGGGAACCGCCATCAGGATGATCGAGGTACCCGTTTCTTAGCCTGCTTACCCCCCTCCCTACTTGGAGACCCTACACGCTTCATAGTCCTCTGTGTTTCCTCCTCCATGGAAACCAGAGACTCATCCCTGAAGATCCCTCATCCTCCACCTCAGATAACACTTCAAATGTGTTTGACACCTCCACCCTCCCAGGGTCAGGTACAGGCACATCCTTCTTCCGCTTCTTCTTCCCAGACTTCCTTTTTGCCTCCAACCACTCCATATCATCATTTGATAAACCGGCCCGCAAAGCCCCCTCCCCTTCCCTTCCACCATCACCAACAACATCATCCACCCCACTCTCTCCACTCACCACAGCAGTCCCCCCCAACCTTCACCCCAACACCCCCCCATCATTCACTCCACCCCCCCCCGCCTCACGCGCTCTGACCCTCCGACGCCGGGGGAGGGGGGGGGGGTGCAACCATACACATTGGTCCAGTTCCCTCCACAGCCCCCACTACCTCTGGGGAAACTGACACAGGAGGATCAGACACAACATCCACGGACACTGACTCAGGGGGCACAACACAAGGAGATGACACATTAGAGGGACCATCAGACACTGGGACCACAGGGACAGAGACAGAGACATTGGGACCCCTGGCACAGCCTCCCTCTCCTCTGCCTCCTCCATGTCCAGACGAAAAAAAAACTCTTCCACCAAAGCTGACTGGTTGTGCATGGCCTCAGGGCACCGGTTGTACGAATGGCCAACCTTATCACACAGATTGCACCTGATGATATTACAATCCACTTAGCCAGGTGCCCCAGATCCTGACACATAGGGAGCACTTCATCTCTGGACATGAGGAGGCGAAGTGACCCCGAGAACCGCACTTATTGCAGAGCTTGGGCTGTCCCAGGGTAGAACACCACAATCCTGTCCTTCCCAATGAAGGCTGAGGAGGGCAGATGCTGGACCACATTCCCACACACATACAACCTCATCTGCACCGACCACCCACCAGTCCATCCATCCCTCTCTCATCCACAATCTTCTTCAGGGGTGCAAGTAGCTCCCCAAATCTCCTCAGCCAGCCAGACAGCCAAGTCAGCCGAAGGAATGGACTCATTCCGTACTAGAATGGTGACCGTCTTCACACTAGAGGTTGGCGTGAGACAACCTTTGGGACGAGTCCCCTCCACTCCGGCAGACCCTTATACATGTGTTCATACTTCTCCCAGAATATATCCAGAGACTCGGGGCGCACAAAGGACAGATCATATTCATAGGATCCTACAGGGCTGATCAAGGCGAAGATGTCATCCGCCCTAAACCCCATCTCCAAAATCCTGTCCACCACCGACATCCTGACCGGGGGAGCACCCCCACCTTCCCATCTGAGCTGCACCAAATTCCTCCTCCTGAAGGACAGGGGTGCAGATGGCAGACCTGCAGCAGACCTCCCCCCAGAGCTGACAACATGATGTGACCCCCTCCTCCCAGCCAGAGCCCCAGCATAGGTCTTATTTGCAGCATTAGATGTAGTGGACCTTAAAGCTGCACCCCGCCCATTGGTTGCAGGAACCTCAGAGCCCCCGCTCTGCAGACCACCATCAGAGGCAGCAGCAGTCACTCCATCCACCAACACACAGGCATTCTTTCCAGCATTGCAAGCACTCTTATCATCCATATGTTTCCTTTCACTCGTGGCACTACTGCTCCCAGCAGACCCACTCACACCAGATGCTCCTGTCTCCCCCTCCCCCAACATACTCCTCTTAGGCAAAAGCCTTCCACTCCTGGTCACTCTCCCCTGGGTTTCAGCAACACCCTTTCAGAGTGCTGCTGACAATTTCCCTCCCACCATTTTCTGCTGCATTTGCAGCCATCAGCAGGGTTGTCCAGCAATAGTCTCAGATCCCCCCTTTACCTTCCCCCCAGCAGAGTCCACAGTCACAGGGTTCCTGGTATCAGAGTCCTCAGTCCCAGCAGAGTGCAGTCCTGCAGGCACAGCAGCCATCTTCCCTGCAGAGCTCTGTGCACACACAGGAGGATTTCCCTCCAAAACACTGCAGTGCACATGGCTGTCCACACTGGAGTCCAAAATGGCACTTTTAATAAAGCGCGGCTTTTCTGTTTTTTTTTTCCTTTACACAGGACCAGGTACAGAGTCCTCACCGTCATCTTCATCCTCAGAGTCCTCAGAAAAACGGAAAGTTCTTCCAATTAGGGAAGACTCCAATTCCTCAATGTACTTTAGCAGCCCTCCGCCATATTCCTCTACCTCCTGTGCTGTTCCTCCAGCTTGCTGTGGAGGGAGGGGGGCAGAGGCTGACATTTCCTCCAGGGAAGCAGATCCTGAGGTGGATGGGATAGCAGGGGCAGCATCCAGGACCCCCTCCTCACTCTCCACCCGTACTGCCACCGCCGATGCTGGATCCTTACCGGAGTCTCCCTTCATCTTCCTGAACCTTTCCTCATTCCGGAACTTTTCTCTGAAAGCTCCGCTCTTCTCCTTCAGCGTCTTTACCAGATTCTGCTGCTTCTTAATGGCGACCTCCAAACCCTTCATCTCCGGCTTCATGCTCTGCCTCTTGCTGCTCCATGACTTGTCATGGAGAACTTTCTTCTTCTTGTAGTCAGTTTTCAGACTCACCACTTTTCCTCCTCCTTTGCGATTCTCACCAGATAATCAGCAACCCGCTCTCTAAAGACAGGGAGGGATTCCCCACTTTTAGGGCCACAGCCAAGGTCTTCAGGTGCTGGTAAAGTATGGGAAGGCAAGCTGGGTCCCTCAGGGGGAGCATGGTCTGAGCCTAGCCCAGAAGAGGCCATGTTTCTGGGGCCAGGCGAGCAGGCCTGGCCCCCTAGTGTCTGGAGAGGGAGAGCACCTGCAGCGAGACTGATGTGACTGTTGGATAGGGGGCATTAGAGTGTAAGCTCCTCTGTTACAGAGACTGATGTGACTGTGGGGGAGGGGGCATTAGAGTGTAAGCTCCTCTGTTACAGAGACTGATGTGACTGTGGGGGGGGGACATTAGAGTGTAAGCTCTCCTAGTGCAGAGACTGATGTAACTGGCTCAGTGCTCTCTGTACAGCATGGCAGTATGTGAACGGACCCTAATGTGGACTAAAATCAGAGAAGAAACTTTTACAAAC